CCTCACTCCGGTCTCCCCACAGCTACCCCGCCGGCTTCGTGTACATCTTCCTGGGGCTCTACCATGCCACGGGCCGCGGCTCCGACATCCGCCTGGCTCAGTACCTCTTCGCCGGCCTCTACCTCCTCAACCTGCTCCTCGTCTTCCGCATCTACTGCCGGACCAACAAGGTACCCTGAGGCTGGGGCTCCTGAGCGCTCACCCCGGCGGAACAGACACGGGCTCAGGGCTGGGGTGCGGCGGAGCTCAGCAGCAGGGAGCCCAGGACAGGCTGCTGATGACCCTTCTGTGTTTCTGTCCCCGGCAAGGTCCCTCCGTACGTTTTCTTCTTCATGTGCTGCGCCTCATACCGCATCCACTCCATCTTTGTGCTGCGGCTCTTCAATGATCCTGTGGCCATGGCCATCCTCTTCCTCGCCATCAACCTCTTCCTGGAGGAGCGCTGGTCCTGGGGCTGCCTCCTCTTCAGGTGAGGGGCTGGGAGCTGCTCTCCGTGGCTGCTGGGTGTGTGAGCCAGCTCAGCCCCAGCAGGAGCTGTGCTCGGCTCAGGGGCTGCCGGGGCTCCGTGTGGGCTCCGCAGTGGTAATGCAGCTTCCTGCTCAGCCTGGCTGTGTCCGTGAAGATGAACATCCTGCTCTTCGCCCCTGGGCTCCTCTTTCTCCTCCTGCAACGGTTTGGTCTCCTGGGCTGTATCCCCAAGCTCTGCATCTGTGCCCTGCTCCAGGTGGGTCCCTGTTTGCACCAGCTGCAGCAGCAGGGAATGGGGGCTGCCTTGCCAGGCTGCAGAGCCGTGGGTGGAGACAGTGGTACCAGCACCTGTGGCCTCTCACAGCAAGCTGGGTGTTGGTAAATAATCTAACTCACGTGACTTTCCTCTTGGGTGACTGTCCCTGTCACCACACGTGGCACTGGGCTTCTCAGGGGGTAGCTGGGGTAACAGCATCCTGGTGTAGGGCTCTGTGATGGTGCTGGTGTGCCCCTGCAGGTGGTTCTGGGCCTGCCCTTCCTGCTGGTGAACCCCGTGGGGTACCTGACCCGCTCCTTTGACCTGGGCCGCCAGTTCCAGTTTAAATGGACGGTGAACTGGCGCTTCCTCCCAGAAGAGGTTTTCCAGAATCGAGTCTTCCATGCTGCTCTGCTCCTGGCTCACCTGGCAGGCCTGGGGCTCTTTGCACTGCACCGGTGGCACAGGTGAGACCTGGGGTTCCCCACGGGTGTTGATCCCTGCCAATCCCATGTGCAGGATACAGATCCATGACTGCCCTCCCCCTGCAGTGCTGCAGTCCTGGGATTCCAGGTGTGAGTTGGAGGGCAGTTACTGTTCTATTCTGGGGAATATATGCCCCAGGTATTGGAGCTCACAGGGGAACACTGGGGTGGGAGAGACTTTCAGCAGCTGAGATCAATGTTTGTTCTTCCCTCTCAGTTCCAAAGAGAACATCCTGACTCTGTTGAAGGATCCTGCCAAAAGGAAACCTGCATCCCCTCGCTTGACTGTCAACAATATCCTTTGGCAGGGTGGGCAGCAAGGAGAGGGAGAAGGCAGGGCAGGGAGAAGCCTGGTTGGGTCCCAGGCCATGCAGTGCTGTTGTACCAGCCTGCCCTGGGGAAAGGAGCTGTGCTGGGGAGCTCTTGTGGGACCACACCTCCAGCCTCCTGTGTTTGCCCCCTTAATGCCAGTGCATGGATTGTCTTCATCCTCTTCTCCTCCAACTTCCTGGGTGTCTGCTGCAGCCGCTCCCTGCACTACCAGTTCTACGTCTGGTATTTCCACACTCTGCCCTACTTACTCTGGTGCACCCCGACCACCAAGCTGGCCCACATGCCCAAGTATGTGCTGGCAGGGAGGGGAGCCCCTCTGCTGGGGCTCTGGGAGTGAGGATGGCTGGTGTGTCCCCCATGCTGACCCCCAGCTTTCCCCTGCACAGGGTGCTGCTGCTGGGCGTGATCGAGCTCTGCTGGAACACCTACCCCTCCACAGTGTGCAGCTCCCTCTCCCTGCACATCTGCCATGGACTCATCCTGCTCCAGCTCTGGTACGGCACAGCCCCCACGCCGGTGTCACACACCCCTCCAACAAGCAGGAAACCCACAGCCACGTCCAAGAAAGCCCAGTGAGAGTGGGGATGGCTGGCCAGTGGGAACTGGCCTCTGGAACTGCCCCATCTGCCTGCTCTTTTCCCACTTGACTCCCAGGCTGCCCACAGCAATCCCAAGAGGGCCATGAGCCTTGGAACTGCGCAAAGGGGGCAGGTGTGGGGTCCCCCAAAAGGCAGGACTTCCCAAATAAAGGGGGCTTTGTGTGCCCTTCCCCAAAACCCTTGTCCTGTGATGATGTCAGAGCAGCTGTCCCAGGACTTGCCCCACCTGAGGGAAGGCAGAGCATCTTCTAGAGCCATGAGCACTCTGGCTTTCCAGCTGTGGGAAAGGAGTGCCCAGGGCTAGGCAGCAGCCTCTGGGGTGAGGTTAGAAGAGAGGAGCTGCAGAACTGCTTTGCTTTATGGTTTCATTTGCTTTGATGGAGCCCAGGAGTCCCTCCAGTACAGCTTTTCCTATTCCCCTGCCTGCTCCCTCTCACCAGAGATGGCTGGGAAGGGGGTGACCCCCTCCTATGATTCTGGTGAGTCCTGGCATGGCCTGAAGGGTGCCAGCAGCTCTCTGCTGATAACAGACACCAGTGCAGATGGCTTGGAGCCAGGTGTCTTTATTGGCCCCTTGGGCGGCCGTCAGACGTTGTTGGGGTTGTAGCACAGCATGTTCAGCTTGATGTTCTCGTCCCAGTGACGCAGCAGCAGGAACAAGTGCCTGGCTGCCCCTTTGAGGCAGC